TGCCATGTTCGGGAGACCCTCAATACTTTGCTGTGTGGTCAGAGGCTCAATGTTTTGACAAGATAGTCATCAGCAACAAAATGGTGTTTGACCACTTCCCCAACACAGTCTCTCACGCCTTGAACCAGCTCGCAGGGAGGAACTACATCCCTCAAAGATACGATGCCACCACAGCATGAGCTAGATTATTTTGAGTTTATCGCAAAGGGTTTCTCTTTACACATTGACGACAAACTCAACTTGTGAAAATATGTAGGTCATGCTTGCGTCACAAATTGGTGAAATGTTTGATTGCTGTTGATGTGATAATTTGTATTTTCTTTTTGTGATCTGAATTAAGATGAATGGCTCTTATGAAAAGAACAGTTCAGGTTAAAATATTGAATGTTTAGTGAATACTTGCCAAGTGCACAAAATAGTTGCATTGAGAAGTGCATTTTACTACAAACTTTTATAAATACTACACAATCCATTATAAAAGTATAAAATTTATACCACAATAGTATATAATTAATTAATTATTTAAATTAGATAGTTTTTAGTTTCTGATTCTACTAAATGTATTTACTACATTTTAATCTAAGAATTAAACAATTAAGAATGCATTTATCTCTGATCTCAATTCTAGATCTAAGTTTCTAGGTTTTTAAATGTGTATTTAGCAATTAAAATTGATTAAGTAACAAAAGAGTTCTAATTGGATTCTGAACCCTCCATCATCAAACCTAGAACTCTATAACTGTTATGCAGAAGGTCCTTTTTTCTTCAACCATGCAATTTGTCCTGTTAAAACACAAATTTGGTTAGGCAAGCACCAGACATTTAAAAAATCATTAAATTCACTCTGCATACATTAATAGAATCATAAAATTCACTCTGCATACATTTATAGAATCAGTAAATTCACTCTGCATACATTTATAGAATCAGTAAATTCACTCTGCATACATTTATAGAATCAGTAAATTCACTCTGCATACATTTATAGAATCAGTAAATTCACTCTGCATACATTTATAGAATCAGTAAAATGTAAATTCACCCTGCATTGCAATAATTGTTTTTATAGAAACATTGTTGAATATTAAGTGTAATTTATTTTTTATAGTGTTTTTTTTAAATAATTGTAAAAAATGTAATTTACTTTTTTAATGATTATTTTTAACAATTGTCAAACTAGTTTCACTGGTGAATGAATTGGTTTCTGTATTCAATATATTTAGTGTTCATGTTTTCCCCCATCAATGTTTTTCGCATACATAATAATTAATTAATATACAAACTTACTTTACTTATTTTCCTAATTTGTAATTTACTTTTTTAAAATCTAACATTGCATGTGGATGCAAGTCCCTCAGTCTTGAAGACCATTGAAACTCCTTAAGTTTCTTGTGATCAGTTTCCCCCTTCACCTTTTTGTCCTTGGAGCCGAGAGTCAGGCACATTTATTCACTGATGACTTCTTGTTTCTTTAGCCTGCCTCTCTCCCTGGTACTGGTACCATACCTTTTTTTTTTTCAACACTAGTCAGTAGGTCATCAAGAGGTCAAATGGACCTTTTGTTGGTCTTTATTTAAAATGCTTTCATTATAAATGTTGTCTAAAAGCTTTTAATACATTTCATTTTACTGGTTTGTCTATGTCCAAGTTTTCTAAGTCTGCTGGTTAACATAACCATTTCTTCTACATCACTGTTTTATTGAAGTTAATAAATATGCAACATTTTTATAGATTTTTTTTCCCCTTAAAATTGTCTTGCTACTCTACTTTAATATCACTCAGGCTTGCCAAAAAAAAAAAAAAAGGAACAGTATATATATTGATGGTATGTGATAAATATTAAAGCTGTAAAGGAAATGCTTAAAATGTATAACTTATTATTTCACTGAAATGCTAAAAAAAACAATTATTGTTTTTATGAATGAATACTTTTATTGTGTATTTTCTTATGCAATTCAAAAACGTTCTTTGATCATGCATTCATTGCTCTTTAAAAAATGTGAAAGTTCTAAATGTTTTTTTGTTTTACCCATTTCATTTCAGAAAAATTAGTTCATCTTATTAAAATGCAATTTTTTAATCAATATATATACATTTTTTATGAAAGCGGGTTAGTTTTTAATTAATTATTAATTAATAAAACTGGTTACTAGTCTGAGAATGGCTTACATAGTGATAAACACTTAACTATTTAGATAGAAATCTTTTCTTTTTTTTTAAGCATTTCTTAGCAAGACCCTAATTTTTCTATATACTTGATTCCTACATAAAATTATATTAATTATAAACATTTAGAAAATCACAGTTATTGGACTATTTCAATTTTGTCTTTTATGCTACATGACATAAACTATATAATTTAGATGCAATATTTTTCGTTTTTTTTGCAAAGATACATTCTCATTGGCTTTGTTATTAATTGAATATCAAGAAAAAGTAATCAGTGATTCATCAGGGTGTATGCATTGTCTTTCCAGACAGGAATCATATATATATGTGTTGGTCTACATATGTGCCAAAAGCAGTCTTTTTTTTTTTTTTTTTGGTGAGCTGAAAGGTGGTAAATGTAGCTGAGGTGCCCCACAGTAACGCTGTAAACACCAGCTTATTTGCCAACTTGCTTTAACTGACATAGTGGCTTTAACTGACAAAGCATGCGGCTTCAGAACGAGATAGCTGGAGGTCACTTACAAAGGCAGCTGGATACACATTTGAGACCAAAAGAAAATCCGCTGCCGAAGACAGACGTAGGTGGCGAAACGAAAATCTACATCGACCACTGGCGGACAATGGTTATGCCTGCGCTGCATGTGGCAAATTATGTAGGTCACAGTTGGGGCTGTGTAGCCACTGGAAATACTGTATACCTCATTAATTAATATATATATCATGGACAGTGATTTTATACCATTGGCTTTGTCATATCTTAATCTTTGCAAAAAGACCCTCCTATCCAAACAAAAAACAACTTAAAAATAAAATCAGCATTATATCTAACATTGAAAAAAACTATCATATAGCACAATTTCTTAAGTGGTCACAGATTTGATGCTCCGCTAACTATAAAAATGTTTCTTTTTTAAACTGTTTAATATTTTTTATAATTTATTTATATATTTATTATTATTTTTAATAATAAAAGAAATGTCAATTACAAACTACTTAACAGTTTTGTCCCATTTCCCTAAAACGCACTCTTTTTTTTTTCCTCTATTTTCCAAACATAGAAATGGAGCAAACATTGAGCTAACATCAGATTTCTGTGACTTGGACTTAGTTTTACCTTATCCAGACTTGGTGCTAAACATATTTTGAATTCAACACATATAAATGTTTTGCCACATTATCATACATTTATGTCTTTGAGGATGATTTTTATAGTTTATTTCTCCATGGCAGTCTGGTTCACATTGTAAACATAAGGGGTTTTTGTGAGACGGGTATCAATAATGTTTTTATTTTTCCCTTGCTGTGAGAAACACACCTTAGCTCCATTGAATGTTCTCATTAAAAAAAATGTCTTATTGAAACTTAAATGAGATGGCTAGCGTTTCCCACTCTGCCACTTTCTATGAAATAATAAAGAATATGACTTGAGTCCCTTGAGTTCTAGAAATTACTTCACTAATTTGTAGTGAGACATAGTTTTTGCCTGAAAAAAAGATGCTAGGGTCTGAGTCTTCACTGACTTGTTGATCTATTGGGGTCAAACTAATCGTTGTAAGAGTAGACAAATACTGGAAACTAATTTGGGCTTTGTTGACAAGATGTGTAAATTTCTAGGACCATGCAGTCTACCAATCTCAATCTGCTGTGGTATAATAAGACAGAAAAATAATAAAACCATTAGTTTTATATGGGCTATTAAAAATATTTATTCACTACTTTACTTAATGAATAATGTTTTTTTTCATCTACTTTGTCGATACCCATGTAAATATGCTTGACATCACAATGTTGTGTTTTTTTTATAGTTTTATATGTGACATCATGGTTGACATATCACTTCTCTTCCTTGATTTAATCTATGCACAACATAACAGTTTTCTTTCATGTAATTTGATTCAAGTTTCATCATGGATTATGGCAGCCTCTGCAGTCTTTCATCCTCTATTTTCAGTGTTGTAAATTGAATAAATTTTGTCTTTAACCACTTGTGTTGTTCTCATTTAATACAAATTTATCATTAAATTGTTTTTAAAAACGTCTCAATGCAGCTCAAAGTCAAAACATCTGCAGGTCTTCCAACCATTAAAACTCTGAAGATATAGCACTTATCTGTTCAATGTCATTTCATACCAAGCTTATATCAGCTCACTGCATCTGGTGTCTGGTCAAAGTCTTGTCCAAGTTAGTTCTCCCACTACCTATTCTTGGAATAAAAGAAACTTTGCACAATAATTTATTGCCCTAGAGATAACACATGAGTTGTTTATAAAATTAACCTTTGTTATTCAATTAGTCGAAATTTATTCATTTTGTTTTATTCGGAAAAAGTACTAAGCCAACAGGAGATAATACTTGCAATAATGAGAGAGGTGGCAGCGACTGCGCTGGTGCTCTTCCTCCCAAATGGCTTGTCAAAATGCAAGACAGGAGACATGTAAATGTTGCCAAACCAGGAGAGTTACTAACCATTGACTTCTGCAATTGTGATACAGTTTGGATTGATTGAAATTTTTTTAAATTACTTGTTTCTTCTGAAAACATTTTCAATTTGTAGCCATGTTTTTTTTACTATGTTATTCCAACATGGCTGGGGGGGGGGGGGGGGGGGGGGGAAGGAACACTTTTGCTCTAGGAAACAACTTGAAATGTAAAGCCCATTGAACAGAATCGTTTAGTTTTAATTTAAAAAAAAAGATAAAAATAACCATTTACAAAATGTTGATATCTTTTTTTCCCCTAATGTCCAATGATTCTGCCTTAATTAAACACTCAGATGCTGAGAATCTGATTTTGTAAACACTAAACTGCACAAGAGAGAAAGAAAGGCAAGTCTTCATACCAGTACTTTTAATAATTCATTTCTTGTCTGAGGTTTGGATCAGACTAAAACATTACAATCAAATGAACCAGCACAATCTGACATCAATCTCACCACAACATTATCTCAACAAATAAAGTCAACATTTTGTACATAATCCTGTGTACACAAAAAGAATAGGAGTCTCAGTATCAACACATGGAGGCTATCTTATATAAATAAAGGCCCAAGGGAGTGACTCAGTATCAACACATCACACACAATTAGACACAAATTGATTTCTTTATTAACAATGAACCAAGTTTTTTTTGTATCCACTTGAGATGAACTAGAGGCAGACATGACTGGGTGGAGAAGAAAAACAATTAGGTTTCATTTCTTAAAAGGGAAGGGGGCAGCATCTTCCCTTCAACAAATACTCTCTAACACCCAGGGTCAACATCTTCCTTTAACAAATACTAACACTGCTATCAAGAGGCACCATTTACAATGTGCACCATTCAGACTAGAAAACATCAACTCACAGACATAGATAAACACATCTACCACACATGGACTAGACTTAGTCCTCAGCTCAGCCAGTATCAACCAACAACTGTAGTAGGTAGGACTATTGACAAACTTTTCAATTACTACTAGTCATGTGATTATGTCTTCGTCATACATGTTAAGACAAACAAGGAATTCTAGACTAGATGAAAACATCTGAACCAAAAAAAAATAATGGAACAGATGTCTATGCACTTATTGATGAATGTGGAACCAAAGTTTGTCTAGAAAAGTTGGTGGGATGAATTGCACTATGTCTAGAAATCTAGCAAGCTATCAGTGGAAAACAATGTTAGTGAAATACATTTGCTCTATGATATTATGTCAGAACAGTTGATCTCAGTTAACAAAAAGCCAGTTTATTACACTCCAATTGGTTCTCTGACCAAGTGCATACATAGCCATGTTAAAAGCTAGGCCAAAGTGTTAAGTATCCAGCCATGAGTTCATTTATCATTCTATCTCTACTTGATTTCAAACAAACTATTTGTAGGCCCTAACATTATGCTTGATAAGATCTCTGTAGTTCAAATAACATGATATATTGGAACAAAGGTTTTTGTAAAAAGAGACAAATATTATGGACATTCTTTTATATAAGGGCATGGTGGCAGAGTGGTAAAGCGCTTGGCTTCTGATCTGAGGGGTCCAGACTTTGAATCTCTGAGAAGGATGGGATTTTAAATGTGCCACTGAGTTCACCCAGCTCTAAAGATTACCTGACATTAGTTGGGGACAGTAAAGTGGTTGATCGCTGTGCTGGTCATAACACCCTCGTTAACCATTGGGCATAGAAACAGATGACCTGAACATCGCATCATCTGCTCTACAGATCACAAGGTTTGAAAGGTGTACTTACTTTTTTTTAAAAATAGAAAACTGACAACTACCTAAAAAAAAATGAGTCTAGCCGATGAACTGATTCATTATTTGTAGAACTTACATCAATAGTTGAGACAATCAGACTGTCTTGAAACCAACACAACATAAAGTCTCTTTTATACTGAACAACAACAGAAAGATTAAAGTCTTCAGATTAACTCAATCATTAGTAGCTACATGGTCAATGTCAAGGTACATAGTTAGAACTGGTTGGGGGAAAACTAGCCTAGAGTAAGAGCTTTTTTCCATTTCATTTTCTGTTTTGGTAATATTGATTGGATAACAGTCTCAAAGTATTGATTTATTTACTAGAACAGTTCTACTTAGCAGATTGGTAACAAATCTTGGGACTTATAATTAATTGACTTCTATCCTGTGCTCCAGCTTCAAAGTAATTGAGCTAAAGATTTATGTTTTAACAATTGTCATCTTTCTAAAAATACAAATTCTCAAAAGATACAAACTCATAGCATACAAAAATTGATTCTTTTCTCTCCCCCCCCCCCCCCCCCTTTCCATAAAAATAATATAACTGTAATCACCTTCTACAACTAAGAGTCTAGTGTATTAGCTCACTCTGGTTACTGCTTTTAATACCTAAACAAAAATACATAGTTCCAGTGGAACTGCTATCAGTGACAGGAGAACATGAGAACTGGTACCTAAATCTGAAACAGCTTAGGCTGGCTACTGATCTAAGAACAAGAGAACTGTGGATTCTATTTCAACTTTGACTGTCCTGTGGATAAACTTGATAAAGCCCTGCAGGATTCAATTTTGGAGAAAAATCAGGAGCTGGTGGTCATTAAGCAGCTTGTAGCAAGCAATGCTACATTCTGTAAGAAACTGAAGAGCTGCTCTTCCCAAAGTGTATTGCACCAGCCAGGTAAAGAGAAAACTACTGTAAAGGCAACAGCATTAAGACCTTAGCTCATGCTCATGTGGCCAACTATTTGTTACTTCAGACACAATGATAATGACAAACATGGTGAGGTGATGCAGTCAAGTCTAGAGCAAGAACCAAACCTTAAGTAGTCATTGTGAGGTCAGACTAAAAAAAACAACATGAAAGTCCATTCTCTGTGACCTACTTATAAAGGAGGTCAGAGTTGAGATCAACACACAGTCGCAGACACACAGTTACACAAAGTATGTTACACAGCTAGAGAACTACAAGTCAAGTGTATTCAATTATGTGTACACACACTCTCAGTGTATTTATATATATATATATGTATATAAAATGTAATGCTTAGTACATAAAATAGATTAAATATACAAATCATACAATAAACTGTTGACAATGGCAGTTACAATTGATTACTTTCAAATCACACAGGTAACATAATTAACTGTGTGACTTACACACACACACACACAGTAGATTGTATGTCATACTTATATGTAAGATAGTAGATTGTGTGTCTTGTACACACACACACATGGCACAGTAGACAGTGACTATTTCATCAACAAAATAAATTCATAAATAAACAAATAGACATCATGGTAAATGAAACATCAACTTGATACCTCATAAACTTGTATCCTTCACATCAAATAATATTATGAACATGATGTATCCATATCTCAACAAAATATTTCTTCTCTCTGTAATAATAGATTTTTAAAAATGTGATGCATAACAGGAAATCCAAATTAAAACATTTTATATCTACACTGAATGAAAAAGAAAACCAATCAGTTCTGATGCTAGAACAAGTTCATGTTGTATCTGAAGGCTGCCAAGGAAAGTCTGAAATCTAAAACCTCTGACGTGATGAAGGGATGAGATGCTTGGAAATGGAAATATTATCTTTCACCTTGCTGCGTCTAACTAGCCCAATCTCCTTGTCCACTTCAGGCTTTTCAAGCTATTAGATGCGGCAAGAATGGGAAAACATGTTTGTGTCACCAACACAGAAGAGTAGACAACTCTTGGTGAGGTCGGAGAATGTCTGGAGGGGGGTTAACAAGTCACTGCAACGTGATCATTCAAGGGGGGAAATCTAAGAATTCAATAACTTAAAAACTTCAAGAAGGGAACCATCACACCTCTGATCTACACACCACACTAAAACAATTTGTCAGGCGCACGGTATGTGGCTGGAGGGGGGGGGGGGGGGAGAACAAGGAAAGAACAAAATTGCACTTGAGTGAAATATTCAAAAGAAGCAAAAAGAGTGAGCATTCATTCCAAGCAGCACAGGCCTTGTGTGAGCAATGTGTGTATCCAGCTAGATGACAATCCAGTAATGTTTAACTCACAGACGCTGCACAGAATGTTAAACTTCTGGCTTGTGTTTCCCACATGCAGGTGCCTTACTTTGTCCATCTAGATTTGAGTGCACAGCAAATACTAATCCAAAAACTCTCTCGCTTGAGTCATGGCCACAACTTGTTGTGAGGGACACTTTTACTCCACAGCAAAACCACAAGTCTCCTCCACAGCACAAGTCAATTTAGAGAGAAACTTCTCAAAGTTTTCATATGGCGGAATATCAAGACGATTGAAACTGAAATACAGACAAAGAAAAGAAAACATTACAACCTGTTGAGGACATCCTTATGATACTATGAGATAATAATTACAACCTGTTGAGGACATCCTAATGATACTATGAGATATTAATTACAACATGTTGAGGACATCCTAATGATACTATGAGATATTAATTACAACATGTTGAGGACATCCTAATGATACTGAGATATTAATTACAACCTGTTGAGGACATCCTAATGATACTATGAGATATTAATTACAACATGTTGAGAACATCCTAATGAGACTATGACACCACATCTCAATGAGACTAGGAGATCACATCTCAATGAGACTAGGAGACCACATCTCAATGAGACTAGGAGACCACATCTCAATGAGACTAGGAGACCACATCCCAATGAGACTAGAAAACCACATCCCAATGAGACTAGGAGACCACATCCCAATGAGACTATGAGACCACATCTCAATGAGACTAGGAGACCACATCTCAATGAGACTAGGAGACCACATCTCAATGAGACTAGGAGACCACATCTCAATGAGACAAGGAGACCACATCCCAATGAGACTATGAGACCACATCAAATGAGACTAGGAGACCACATCTCAATGAGACTAGGAGACCACATCTCAATGAGACTATGAGACCACATCCCAATGAGACTATGAGACCACATCAAATGAGACTATGGGACCACATCCCAATGAAACTATGAGACCACATCCCAATGAGACTATGAGACCACATCCCAATAAGACTATGAGACCACATCTCAATGAAACTATGAGACCACATCCCAATAAGACTATGAGACCACATCTCAATGAAACTATGAGACCACATCCCAATGAGACTAGGAGACCACATCCCAATGAGACTAATTCCTGCTGAGACCCAAGTGATAAAAAGTCTAAAGCTTTACAAATACTAAACACAGAGCAACTTTGTTATTTGAGATTAAAGTCTACAATTTATCTGTTTGCTATTATCTTCTTCATCTAGCCAGCTGGTTGCTGCTGAACTGCAAGCTCCAATGAAGTCTAGTGCCAGTAGTTAATTGTTGGCTGTGATGGGTTGTTGTGTTAATGAGGTCAATGAAAATGGGCCAATCAAAGAAGGGTATGAATAACAATAGTTTAAAGGTGGACTCAGTCTTAACAGTGGGGAGGGGGGGGGGTTATAGTTTAAATGATAATTTTTAAAGATGTGTGTGTCCTGTTCTTAGTTGAAAGATTTCCAGGGGAAGAGAATGATGCTGTCCTGTTTATTTGTCATGGTAATTTCTCTGTAAATAGCTAGGTCCATACTTCCTGGTGCCCTTTGATTGAGCTTCTCTTCTTTACGTATAGAAGACTGGGGGAAGAGAGTGTATGCATTGTAACCTGTGTCACAAGCTTGGGCACTGAAATTTCTTCTTGAATGTCTATTTGTTTTATAGAAACCTATTGCATTGTTTTATAGTTAGTTCTCTGTTACCTTAGAAAATGAAGATTTTTTTTACAAGAACTTAATTGGCAACAGACAGATTCTCTTCCCCCTGGCTGTAAAAATTTGAAAGAAATGTCACTATATAAACAGATGACATTTGAAAGACTAAACATCAGCAGATAACCAAGCAGACAAACCACTCACCATGTGTGAGCCTTAGGTAAGTTATCTGTACAAATGTCCACTTGGTGAATGGTGAACAACCGCGGACCAGCCGCACCAGTAGAACCTGAAACAGACAATCAGAAGCTTTTAAATTTTCTGTTCATCAAATGTTTCCATTAGCTGTTTATAAGTATAGTAATTATCTTGTGTCATTGTCCCTAAGATTTTGTGCTCATTTAGTGATTTAATGCAGCAAAATTTAAATTTATTAAATAACTTTTTTTTGTGGAGAATATCTCTTTTTAAATTACTCATATTTTTAAAAATAAAAAATCAAAGAATCTGTACACAGTATGTAACTTTCAGAACAGTTATCTAGTTACCTTGTAAAGCTTTAAATCCCTGGAGTGGAACCCTGGAACTGCCTGTGACAAACTGTAAAAGCCTGGCCCTCATCTCATCATCAAAGTTGTCCACCGCCCTCCAGAACCAGCGTACAATGTTAGTCTCTGCGGTACAGTGCTTGAGCCGAGTGTGTTTCTTCCAGTCGTCTAGGTCTATCTTACCCAGACCACCAATCATTAGCTGCAAGAGTGTTTTAAAAAAAAGGTTACTAATGTTACTAACTGCAAAAGCTAAAAGAAAAAACACTTTGAAAATTATCTGACATTTGGATAAGGTGGTCAGGTAGTGCTACTCTGACAATATGAATTCATACCACAAATCTTTATTATGATCATACAATTCTTAAATAAAGGCAGAGGTGCAGATTCCAAAACATTAACTTTTAGGCTTCAAAAATATCTTAAATGTATCAGCTCAACTGGACCAAAAATAAAATGTATAAATATAAGCAATAACTTGTGTTATCTGATACAAAGTGTAGGATGTGTGGTATAAACCATTTGGCTACCTAGCATGGGAGTTTGAATATTGACTTGAGCTGAGTTGTGTTTGCTGAGCATCTAAAAGTAGCACAGAAATCTTCTCCTAGATACCCCCTTCCACAAAAGAGATTGGACCATGGTGCACTGAGCATGTTGTACCATGAAAGATTTGCTATATAAAACCAATAAAAAACATGAACTAAAGAGTGGTGTATGTAGTGGGAAATCTTTATGAGTCGAATATTTTATGCCCTGGGCACTTTGTTGACAACCTATGTAGAGGAGACTTACTTCTAATTCTCTTTCATCAAAGGACCGCAGTAAATGCTGAGGAATGATTTCATTGAATCCTTTCTGTAAAGACAAAAACTGAGCTTCTATTCCACGCATAAACCTCCACTGGACATAGAGTCTGAAAAGAGAATTTTCAGGGATGGGGGGGGGGGGGGGGGGGGGGGGGGGTATTTGAATTTTAAGGATAAAAAAAAAAAAAGGCTGAAAATCTAAATTAAAT